TTGGTAAAGTAGGACTTGGATCTAGGACTTGGATCTAGCTAGATCTCTCCAACTCCAGAGCCCATGCTCTCTCTAAATCATACTTTGTCCTTGGCTTGACACAGTGGCATTAGAGACTGCGTAACTGGATCAAGACAAATTCCTCCTGACTAAAGGAAAATCCACTCAAAGGATATAATGAGAAAGCCTCTCTGTGAGAGTCAGTGCTTGCCCTCTGACACGGAGCCCCATCCCTACCCCCTCCCTGAATTTGTGACCTTCCTGACACACAGAGAGAGTTCATGAGAGGCCCGGATGTTGGACTGTTGGCCTCTGGCTTACTGATTCATTTCACTGGCTGTGCTCATTGTGTCTGACTCCACTGTGGTTTGGTGGAGGAGGATTTAAATCTAAGATATAGGCAGCTGAGTGTGAGGACTGGGTACCATACTGTGGTCCTGGGTATGGACCTTTGATGTTGTCATGGCAACCAAAGCTGCTATATACTGCAGATAACAGAGAGGACTAGAGGTCACGAGCTGCCAAACCATTCTCTCCAGAAGCAGATCTTGGGTAATTAGCATGACCCATGAACCTTTCCCAAGGCTGCAGCCTTGCCCTTCTGCCAAGACTCAAATCACTCATCTGCTCCCTCACTTACTTACCTTACTCACTAACTCACTCATTCATTCATTCCACAAATTTATTGATTGCCTACTGTGCTAGGTGCCGAGGGGGGAATGATGAAGAAAAGAGAGACGTGGTCCCTGCCCTCTTGGAGCTTACAGCTAGGGTGCCCGGACATCCCAGTTTTCGTGGTTCCGTGGAATAAGTAATTGTTAAGAGTGCTCCTTTTGGCTGGGCGCGGTGGCTCACGCCTGTAATCCTAGCTCTCTGGGAGGCTGAGGTGGGCGGATTGCTCGAGGTCAGGAATTTGAAACCAGTCAGATTTGAAACCAGCCTGAACAAGAGCGAGACCCGTCTCTACTATAAATAGAAAGAAATTAATTGGCCAACTAATAAATATATATATAAAAAAATGCCCGAGGGCATGTGGGCATGCCTGTAGTCCCAGCTACTCGGGAGGCTGAGGCAGGAGATCGCTTGGCAGAGTTGAGGTTGTGTGGAGCTAGGCGATGCACGAACTCACTCTAGCCAGGCAACAAAGTGAGACTCTGTCTCAAAAAAAAAAAAAAAAAAGACAAAAAAAAGAAAAAAGAAATGGAGAACGAACTGAAGTGCAAGGCTGTCGTTGCTATACAGGACAGATTTCTGTAATGCATGATGTTATGTGTGTGACACCGGCATGAACTTCCTGCCATCCCAGAAAGCCTCCAGCTTAACATATTTATTTCCAAGTAATACAATTGCTCGTGCAGAAACAGGGACCTTAGAGAAATCTTTGTGTTCTGAAAACATGAGAAATTTCGTTTCCAATGCATCGCATTGGAAAACAATAGAAGAAGAATTCTCTTGCTAATAGATCAGGAGTGGTTACATCTAAGTCATCACATTTTCTATTAGGAAATACATTTGGTAAGATCTAATTTTATTATTATTTTTTCCAGGAAAAGTTAATTGACATAAAACAATCACTTGTTTCCTTCTTATGACTCCACTTTTCTTGTCTTTGTCTTACTACTGACAGTCTTCAGAGACCCAAACCAACCTTTACTGTCTCTGATTTTTGGTTCTTTCCCTTACAGCAAACTCATCCTTCTTTCCCTTGCTTTGTGCAAGAGGGACTTTAAAGTCGCTTAGAAGATGTTCATCTCTTCCCTGCTCCTTGGTATTCCTTAGCCCTTGGGACTTGGATAGGGTAGCTGGGTATCCTGCTATTTATTTCTTCCAAGCTGAACAATACATCTGTTTTAGGAACACGGCTATTTACCGTGTTTACTTACACACTTTTTTAGAGAAGGAAACCAAGGGAGGAAATGAATTAAAATAACAGTGAAGATGGCTTTGCAGTTTGGACCTTTGCAGGAAAATATAAGCATTTCAAACTCAATACAATACTTTTTCTTTTTTGAAAAAAAAGCTAAGACTCTCGGTGCTCATTTTTTAGAACTCAATGGCGGGCCACCTAGCAGTTGATCAAATTTCCTAACTGCAGCTTGGAGAGCGATTTTTAATCTTCACGTTGAAAGCTGGCTCAGGAAGACATCTGCGCTTTGTTTCGGACTAGTTTTGTGCTCTGTATTGATAACTCTCTTTCTCCCCTGTCCCCCCACTGACTCCTCAGTGGCCGTTCCTGCAGCAGCGCCGCCGGCCGTGTCAGCCCAAGAGTGCCACTAACGGGCAACCTGCCGGCTCCACGCCTCTCCATTTCTCCCGAGCCACGGTGGTAGCCAGAATGGAAGGTGCCTCCCAGGGGGGCTGCAGACCGTCATGAAGTGGAGACAGTGGTCGCCATCTTCGTGGTCGTGGTGTCTACCTCGTCGCCGGTGGTCTCGTCTTCCGGGCGCTAAGAGCAGCCCTTTGAGAGCAGCCAGAAGACACCCATCGCCTTGGAGAAGGCGGAATTCCTGCGGGATCACGTGTGGTGTGAGCAGGATTGGAGACCTTGATCCAGGTGAGCAGGGAGTGAGTCGACCATACAGCAACCTGGGGGGGGTGGGGGGGACGGTGGGCACGACAGCTTTGCTTTTGTCTTTCTGGTCACCGAGTTTGCCTTTGGTTGAGACACTCCGTGGTCAGGAAGTCTTCTCAGGGGAGGTGGCTTGAGCTGAGACCTTGAAGAAGCAGAGAGTGAGCATGTGACAGTGGCGGTCGGGGAAGAGGGTCACAAATGCAAGGCCTGACGCAGGAGCAGGCTTGTGTTCCGTGTCTTCCGGTTTGGGTGAATGGGCCAGAGGCAGCATCAGGCCAACAAGTTTTGGGATTTCAAGTTCAAGGTCCACCTGTGTGCTGATTAACGTCCTGGTTCCAAACTGTCTGTGGGATGCTGGGATAAGAGGTGTCCTAGAAGCCAAAGAAAAAAGGAATTTTAAGCAAGCAGGGATGCATTCCCTTGTGCAAGGTCCATGAGGGTGGTAGAGAAAAGGCCACCAGGTGAGGATGAAGAGGCTGTTGGTGGCCTGAGCGAGCCATTTTACGGCCTTATGAGATGAATGAAAGAGATAACAGTAACAGGAATCATCAGGCTTGCTGGCGTGAATACTTACTGTGTATCAGGCAGTGTGCTAAAGTCTTTACATCCCTTGGATATTAAGGAAAAAATGCATGAAAAAATGGAGGCAGAGATCTTGGAATGCAGCTAAATAAGCAAGCAGTGGGATCTGGAGGGTGGGAGTGGGCTTGGAGGGTAGGATGTGGTGGAGCAGGGCTGCAGGAAAGCCGGAGAGTCCCTAAGGTGGTGGTGATGGAGGAATGGAACACGGTGATCGGGAAGTCTGGGAAGCCCGCGACGGAACCGTTCCCATGGGAAATGGTAGAGAGCCCAGGTGGAGGCTTCGCCTGGTAGGTAAAGGAGGAAGACTGCCCTGAGCCGGAAGTTTGATTCCTGGGCCAGACGCCCTCCTGATCCACAAAGAGCAGTTTTGGAGGAAGTGATCACATTTATGGAGGCAAGGGAGAGTGTCATCTTTCTGAAGGTTCTGAAGTTTGGAAGGTAGAGGGTGGAAAGACAGCTTCCCCAATTCCTTCTGGCTCTGGGAGGATGCGCATTAAATTCTAATGACTACCACAGCCAGGATTGGGTAGGAGTCACAGTCTGGGCTGGCTTGTTATTAATATTTATTTATTTCAAACTACACTGATAGGGTTGGGGGAGTTCTGATGTGCTTGTGATCTAGCACTTTCATAGTAATCATATTCTTTTTAGTTAGTTTTAACATCTGCCTCAACTCTTAAGCAGAAAATAAATACAAGTGCCACCCCCAGGAATAAATACAATTTCATAACTATGTCCTATATTTTATTAAAGTGTAAAACTTTAAATGCTAAAATCCAGGGGCAGCATTTCACATTAACTGTTTCATAAGAAATCATTTCTTTGGCTGGCCTTGTCTTTTTTTTTTTTAATTTGTGGGAAAACACTGCCAAATAGATGGTGATGGGAATCTTGTACCAGTGCCAGATTTGAGGCCTCAGGTGCCATGGAATGGAGGAAACAATTCTGGAGTAGTTTTAAGTAGGATTTAATTAATTGCATTTGTACATGTTGTGAAATGTGTTGGGATCCTTTTTATTTAGTTGTAATACGTATAGTAACCTCATAGGTGGTCTGAAGTGGATCTAGTATCACACTTGAATTTTCCTTCCTTAGTAAGATCTTGAGGAGAAGGGACCATGTCTTCTTATCTTTGTATCCATGTGTGGTCCATGCATTGCTTTGCATCCAATTATCGCCCAATAGATAGATGCTTTTGGGGTGAGATATGAAAGTAAATCTAGTAAATCTGAACATTTTTGATGCCACAAGATATCTGTTCTTATCCATGCATTTGTTGATTAAATTCAGCATTTCTGTATTGCCCATTCTTTGACCCTCTCCTTTATGAAAGACCTCAGAGGCCAGAATGGACAGGGTGGGGGAGTGTGGACATCCTAATTCTGGTGCTGCCATGAAGACCTGCCCCCTGCTTTGACCTCAGAGATTCTCTGTGAAATGAGGTGTCTCTGTGCGTGTGTGCACATGGGTGTGTATACACTTAAGATAATTTTATAACAATTAAAAAAGCTACCCTTTATCAGGCACCTATTATGAGCTGGGCACCTAATACCCATTATCTCATTTAATCTTTCCAACAGCACTTTTAAGTTGGTATTATTATCCCCATTTTTACAGGTGAGGATGCTAAAAGAGGCCAAATAACTTTCCAGCCACCCAAGTGGCAGAGCTGGGATTCAAAGTGAAGTCTGTCTCCCTCAACACTGCCTCACCCAGTGAGTCTACAAGCCCTTTAAGTAGGTCTTGCTTTATAAGAAGCTCCACTCTATCTTGAACATTTGCTTTGTGTTTAACACTCTCCAGAATTTTAGCAGTCAGAAATCACTGGACTCCCTAACAGCAAGCATTTCTCTAGTTCTTCCTCCTGTACCCTTCGAGTGTCAGTGCTGGACCTGGCATACTTTCTGATCAATCTACTATGGGTTAAGGATTCTACTGGTGCTTATCTGTGGTCTTTCTCACTATATAGATTAAGCAGGTTTCATTGCTGAATCTGTGTCAATCAAGAACAAAATCAGTATGGTTTGCCCTTCCGTTCCCTGATAGCTTCATAAGGAGGAAGGCGTCCACACGTAGGGACCAGGGAAGCGTTCCTACACTGTGTGCCTCTGAGCATCACTGTGTCTAGTGCTCACGGGAAACACAGCATTTAAAAGTAATTTGTCTTCACGTTCAGAAGGGTTTTCAGCGTGCTGGGTTCTAAGCTGGAGAAATGGTACTATTATATCTCACCCAAGTCTGAAAGGAAGGACTGGTGGGTAGAAAATAGATTGATGGCATTTATTTGGTCATGTCTCTTGGCTGGATTGAGTGAACTTCTCATAAAGCTAAGCTGTAAGGTGTGATTCGTATTATGAATAACAAAAACAGAGTACCCAGAATAACATGACCCCCATAAAATGCCTGGATAGCGTAGAAGAGCCCTAGCTAGGGATGGATTTCTGGCACATTAAAACCACTTTATGGAGTACTGTTGGGCTCTGGAGGACACTGTTGGGCCACTGTCCCTGAAAAGTGAGGAAAGATGGAGGGGACCGTCTCATCCATCCATCCACTCATTCTCTGAATTGCTACTGGAGTCCTGCTGGGCCAGGTAATATGCCAGGTGTTGGCGATAGAAAAGATGAACAAGTTCCTAACCTCTCTGCACTCTGGTTTCATTACCAGTGAAACGTGGCTAAAATCCTCGGCCCTTAGGGAGTGGAGAGGATTAAATGCAGTAATTCATGAGAAAGGCTTTAAAGCATGCTTTCCACAAAGTGAATGTTCACGAAAGCAGAGTTATTACTGTTACTGCTGTTAGTATTATTCAGGGAGCTCAGAGTTTCAAGCAGTGGTTCTTACTGTGGCGGGTGGGGTGGAGAATGTCGCCTCCAGGGGGCATTTGGCAATGTCCGGAGAGCTTGTAGGTGGCCACAGCTGGGCAGGTGCTGCAGACAACCAGTGGGCCAAGGCCAGGGATGCTGTTCAACCTCCTGCAGTGCTCAGCATAACCCCCGTCATGAATTATCTATTCCCACATGTCAATAGTTGAGAAGCCCTGGAGGAAGAGGCATGCAAACCAATAACTAAAATTTGTTAGAATAGAACGATTTGAAAGATACGAAAACATGGGAGCCCCAGTGGGGCAAATAGAGCTACTTATCTCCTTTTTAGTCCACAGCTATTCTACAAAGAATAGGAAGAAACTAGGAGAAGGAAGACAAGTTAGAAAATTGCAACATCATATAGCTGACAGATGCTAAGAGAGAGAGAAAAGGCTACATTTAATAGAGTCGACACAGAAAACTTGAAAATTACTCATTCTCCATTCATCAAAGATTTCTGGAGTGCCAGCTATGTGCTCCGTACCCCTGCCTGTTCGAACAAGGCCACGTAGGCCCCACGTGGACTGGAGCCCCCAGGCTCTGGAGTTAACCTTTCCTTGTTAAATCCTTTGTCACTTATGGGATGTGGGACTTGGGCAAATATCACAGTCATCCCCGGTCTCAGCTTCCCTTCTGTAAAATGGAGATTGTGTTAATAGTGTCCACCTGTTAGGGGGGTTTGAGGATTAAACCAAAAAGCTCAGTAACTTTTCGATGTTGTTAGTGCTACAGCTTATTTGTTAAAGAGGGAAGAAAAACAGAAACGAGAAAGCTCCTATGTTATGTGCATCCTGGAATTGTGCTCAAGGGAAAAAAGAAGCTTTGGAAATGCCCTTCAGAGCTTCAAATCCTAAGCTTTCTAGTTGACAGATTTTGCTTCTGCTGTTCAATTGCAAAGTACCCTTCACAGAAATCGCTCCCTCATGGATGGGCTGAGCTGCTGCTACCATAATATTCTGTCTTTGTGGCTTGAGCTCAGGGGAGCAGCATAGCGGTTTTCTGTTTCATTTAGAGGGCCTACCCAGCCACCTAGGTAATCATCTTTATCCTGAGCTTTGGGGGAGACTCAGCCTCACATTTATTAACACTAGGGCTGGCTTCATTGATCTCTGTCTCCCCTGCTTGTTCTCTGAGTGGTTAGAGACATAATTCCAGAGAATCTCAGAGACCCAGCTGGACTCAGGCAGCCCTGAAGGAGCAGGTTGTATGACCACTGGGGCAACCACTGATTCCAAGGTGTGACTGAGTGAAAGGGCTTATGTCCCCAATGCCTGATTGTTGTTTAAACCCCAATCAGGAAGAATAGTCAGGCCTCTTTAATAGTACAGACCCTTCTGGAAAAAGAAGACAGTGACACTCATCCCAGTTCCACTAGGACTGAGTTTGGTGTGCTAGGGCAAGCCACTTAACCCGAGCTGGGGATCAGCTGTTCAGCTCACAAAGGACATGTGAGATCCATCCATTTCTGGAATCTTACCCCTGAGATATGAGAGAGTGTGCAGATGATCGTCACAGGGAGTCTTTCTGCAGAGCTGGTGTAATGAAAAAAAATACAAGTTACCAATTATTGGTTATTTACTTTCCTCTAGGCTGTGTTCTATGTGCTTCAGTCCTTGCTCATTTAACTGTTGCAATAAGCCTCTGACTATCTATCATCTATGATGATAGCCAATGACCATCATTCTATCATGACCATCCCATTTGGTGGATGAGCAAATACATTCCAAGAAGTTAAGTGACTTATCCAAGTCCACACAGCCAATACGTGGTTAGAGTGGGATTTGAGTCCTGGCAAGCCAGACCCCAGAGCCCACCCATCTCCCCACTGTGCTGTACTGCTCACTGTGTCGGCCACGATACCCCCCAACTATGCTGAGAGGGAGAAGTTGAAATGAGTTGGGAAACCTGGGCTGTCTGCCATGGAGCTAGGGCACTTCAAGTGGGGAATATTGCATTTTCACAGAAGGCGGGTGTCAGGAGGAGAAGGTGCACGTGCATTTCGTCAGATAGACTTGATCCCTTAACCCTACTGAGCCTAAGGCTTCTCCTCGTATTAAAAGGATCAGGTGGTCCTTCTCATTCGGGTTACTGGGAAGAGTGGAGGAGATGACCCACACACAGCGTCCGGCAGAGTGCCTTGCCTGTCACCGGCTTTCAGGAAATGCTATTTCCTTCCACATCCGTCTTTCTTCTCCAAAGCGAACTGAATAGACAAAGATAAGCATACCTGGAGTACTTACATTTCTTTGGTCGTGGAACAAAGTAAATTAAATGTGTTTTCGAAGGTACAGTTTCCCTGAACTTGATCTGACAGTCACTCTGTCCCAAGAACCTGCCTGATACTCTCACTTACCACAATTGCTTATCTCCCTGTTCCCCGTGCCATTGTGTCGAAGCTCCTGCACTGACTAGTCTTGGAGAAGCCACAGAACATTCATCTTTTGTGATCCGCAAAGAATGAAATCGTGAGCGGCTTTACGGACTGACGGGGAAGGGAAGAATGAGTGCTTCGGCCTGCAGGGATGATGATTTGCAGTGGTCGTTTTTCAGGATGTGCATTTTTGGACGTTTTAAGACGCAGTGCCTTCGGCTGAGCTCGTGGGGTCATGTGGCTGTCATTGCTCCTGGTCCATAGTCGCGTCGAAGGGAGGGTGTTTCAGGGGAGTGGGTTTAGCGTTGGATGAGGGGCCCACCGGGGAGGATGTGGGATTTTCCATTCTAATTCCCCAGCTGAAAAGCAAACAACAGGGATTTACTCCTCTCTCACTAGATGGCATTTTTGGGGGCAGGTTGGTCTGTCCCCCCAGATTGAGCAGGTTCCCTCACTGCCTAGCAGGCTGACTTTTCCCTGGCGTACTTCAGTCCTTGCCTCCGGCAAATGACTTCACTTCTCAGAGGCCTCTGGACCTCGAAATGGGCACCTTCTGTTCGTGGTAGTCGCTGTCTGGAGAAAGTCCTGAAGCTTCGATCTGCCTGGCGTGGGCTAGATCTGGAGTCTCCTGGAGTGTGAGTCCTGGGAGACGTCTCTTCTCATCCTGCTACGTCTCCTCCTCCCTGACGGGTTCTGTGACGTTTCACGTTGGCGAATAGGGACTTTGCCATTGCTTTATGGCCTCTTAGGGGTTTCTATCCTTTCCAAAGAGAGTCTCAAGTGCTTTGCTTGGTACTTGGGCCTTAAACAGTGTTTGATGAGTACTGTTTGGCACCATTTATTATTATTATTATTTTATTTCGGCATATTATGGGGGTACAAATTTTAAGGTTTCAAAAAATGCCCTTTCCCCCCTCCCCCCACAAGTCTGAGTTTCCAGCGTGACCATCCTCCAGATGGTGCTCATCTCACTCATTATGTATGTATACACCCCCCTCCCCCTCCCCCCTGCTCAATACCCAATTACTGTATTTTTTATTTTTTTAAAAATTAATTTTTTAACCAACATATTTAATATAATAATTGTACATATTTATGAGGTACATAGTGATGCTTCAATACATACAATGTATAGTGATCAGATCGGAGTAATTAGCATCTTCATCATCTCAAATATTTATCTTTTCTCTGTGTGGGGAATATTCGGTATCCTCTTTCTAGCTACTTGAAATTATGTATTAACAGTATAGTATTGACTACAGTCAGCCTATAGTGGTATAGATCACTAGAACTTATTCCTCCCATCTAGTTGTAACTTTGTATCCTTTAACAAATCTTTTCCTATCCCTCCTTCCCTCTTCCCTTTCCAGTTGACACCATTTCTTTCTTTTCTTTTTCTTTTTTTGAGACAGAGTGTTGCTAGAATGCAGTGGCGTCACTGTAGCTCACTGCAATGTTAAACTCTGGGCTCAAGCGATCCTCCTGCCTCAGCCTCCTGAGTTGCTAGGACCACAGGCATGCAGCCACCATGCCCAGCTAATTTTTCTTTTCTTTCCTTTTTTTTTTTTTTTTTTGTAGAGATGGGGTCTCACTCTTGCTCAGGCTGGCCTCAAACTCCTGAGCTTAAGCAATCCTCCTGCCTCGGCCTCCCAGAGTGTTAGGATTATAGGCATGAGCCACTTTGGCCCAGTTGACACCTTTTTTTAAACACTGACTCTGTGCAGGCTGGGTACTAGGGTGTTTGCATATATGATTGAGCTTCCTTTGACCCTCCCATGATACCAAGAGGTGGCCACTGCTACTGCCCCATTTTACAGAGGGTAAAGCTCTTGTTAGGTAGCTCACAAGAGCTTTACCCTCTTGGTAAAGTAGGACTTGGATCTAGGACTTGGATCTAGCTAGATCTCTCCAACTCCAGAGCCCATGCTCTCTCTAAATCATACTCTGTCGTTGGCTTGACACAGTGGCATTAAAGACTGCGTAACTGGATCAAGACAAAATCCTCCTAAGGGAAAATCCACTCAAAGGATATAATGAGAAAGCCTCTCTGTGAGAGTCAGTGCTTGCCCTCTGACATGGAGCCCCATCCCTACCCCCTCCCTGAATTTGTGACCTTCCTGACACACAGAGAGAGTTCATGAGAGGCCCAGATATTGGACTGTTGGCCTCTGGCTTACTGATTCATTTCACTGGCTGTGCTCATTGTGTCTGACTCCACTGTGGTTTGGTGGAGGAGGATTTAAATCTAAGATATAGGCAGCTGAGTGTGAGGACTGGGTACCATACTGTGGTCCTGGGTATGGACCTTTGACGTTGTCATGGCAACCAAAGCTGCTATATACTGCAGATAACAGAGAGGACTAGAGGTCACGAGCTGCCAAGCCATTCTCTCCAGAAGCAGATCTTGGGTAATTAGCATGACCCATGAACCTTTCCCAAGGCTACAGCCTTGCCCTTCTGCCAAGACTCAAATCACTCATCTGCTCCCTCACTTACTTACCTTACTCACTAACTCACTCATTCATTCATTCCATAAATTTATTGATTGCCTACTGTGCTAGGTGCCGAGGGGGGAATGATGAAGAAAAGAGAGACGTGGTCCCTGCCCTCTTGGAGCTTACAGCTAGGATGCCTGGACATCCCAGTTTTCGTGGTTCTGTGGAATAAGTAATTGTTAAGAGTGCTCCTTTTGGCCGGGCGCGGTGGTTCACGCCTGTAATCCTAGCTCTCTGGGAGGCCGAGGCGGGCGGATTGCTCGAGGTCAGGAGTTCGAAACCAGCCTGAGCAAGAGCGAGACCCCCGTCTCTACTATAAATAGAAAGAAATTAATTGGCCAACTAATAAATATAGAAAAAATTAGCCGGGCATGGTGGCACATGCCTGTAGTCCCAGCTACTTGGGAGGCTGATGCAGAAGGATTGCTTGAGCCAGGAGTTTGAGGTTGCTGTGAGCTAGGCTGACGCCACAGCACTCACTCTAGCCTGGGTAACAAAGCAAGACTCTGTCTCAAAAAAAAAAAAAAAAAAAAAAAAAAAAAAAAAAGAGTGCTCCTTTCTCTCTCAAATGTGTCCTGGTTTGGAAGATAAAAATGTATGGTGACCCTACTTCTAGGCAGTTGGAGAGACAAACCTTATGCATACAACCACACAAACAAGTGTAAATAAACCCTGGATGAAAATTGCAGAGGAGAGGGAGCTAGAGCCATGGGACACCTGGGCAGGCGAACTGAGAGGGGGGCCAAGATTCCAGGCTGAGGGGCCTGAGCCAAGACCTGGGCTGGGGCAAGCAACATTTGATGTCTTGGGATTTGAGAGAAGTGAGCAAATGTGGCCAGAGGGCATTTAGCAAAGGGAAATTTGCAGGCAATTTGGCTGGAAACAAGCAGGGGTCAAACTATGTAGGGTCTGATGTTGGATTTTACCCTAAAAGCTTCGTGAAGCTACAGTTAGGTTTAAGCAGCAGGGGGACATGATTTGATCAATCAGTACATTGCCATTTTGGTCCCTCATAGAAACCTAAAGAGTTTTACCGTATTCATTCATTTGTTCAACTAAACATTTATGGAGTGACAACTGGAGCACTCTGCTAAGTGTTTTGTTCTGGATCTGGACTGATTTATCCTCAGTGGTGCCAAAACTCAACTCTTGGGCAAGGTGTCATGGGCCCGTCATGTTGGGTCATGCCCCTCTTGGTTCCATGGTATCAAGAACTCGCATTTGCCACTGCACTGATTAGACTTTATTGAGTGACTGTCACTTTTCTCATCTGTCCCCTTCCCACGGCTGTGAGGTCTTTGAGGTGGAGTCTGTGTCTTTCATCTGTACAGCCCTCGTGGCTGGTGGCCAGCCAATAAAAGATGCTTAAGATTCGAAGAAAGAAGGAATGGTGCTTTCTTTTTATCTGTTTTGAAGACTAAGAGCCCTTCATGTAGTACTTTCACAGAAGTGAAGCCGAAAATTCTTTTGTTTCTGTGCAATACAAGTCCTTTCTTTATGGTTGGGTTGTCGGTAGTACTTCCCTCAACTCATCTTTTTGTCATCTTCATGTGTGGGCAGATTCCCTTGGTACCTATAGAGATCAGAGCTTTGCATATCTAGGAATGTAAGCATTTTCAGGAAAGCAGTTTGTTGGAGAGCGTGGCACCTGACATGTTCACGGAAATACTCGCTGTGACTTCAGAGGGCAGAGCCCGTTCTGTCTTCTCTTTCTCTGCCCTGGGCCGTTCCCTATTCCAAGCAGCCTTTAGTCCAGGAAGTTTAGGTGGCAGCCCAGGCAGCAGGTGACCTCTGGCAAGTGCAGGTTTGAATTCTTTGTGCCCAAAGACACAGCTCTTTGGGGTTGAACTGATGTCTCCTGGGTGTCGCCTTGAATTCACAGGAGCTATTCTTTCGCCAGCAAAGTGATCACGCAAAAGATTGTTCAGTGCATGCAAGATCGGGCCTGCAGCCCCTTGGCCTGTCTCTACAGGCCTCCACTTCATTATTATTTTTGTTTTTAATCCCAGGGGTTATTGATTCCATTCACTGTTTGGTGAAAAAGATCTAAAGCTTTTAAAGCTAGAAATTAAAGAGCTAATGGAAATTGGCATGCCAGTGGAAAATAAATTTGCAAATGAGAATTCAATGTTTCAAAGTTAAAAAACACCTCCCATAAAAATAAAACCCAAACTCAGCGCTTACTGTGGCCAGGAAGTGCTCTAAATGCTTTGTGTGTACTAACTCATTTAATCTTTACAATGATCCTTTGAGGTGGGGTAAGTAACTGAGGAACAGAGAAGTTAAATATCATGCCCAAGTTTAAGTGAGAGGTAGAACTGAGTTCTGGACAAGGCATTCTGGCTCTAGAATCCGTGCTTTTTGACTATGATCTTTACTCCTGGGTTGGGGGGACCAACTTGTCTTCAATACTTAGAGTCTAGTGCGATTGGTTCTAGAAGACAAAGAAGCACGCAGGACCCTAGCCACAGAGCAAGGGTCTCTGACTCAACCTATGGGACCGCTAAGAGGACCTTCATTCACCTGCGAATAGACTACCAAATAATGATTACCTCCTGGCTGTCCTTTAGAGGGACAGGGTGTATTAACATAAGGTGTTGGGGCTGGGTCAATATGTTCTATTTAAAATCGAAGTACTTGAGTTATCATCCAGGTCTGCAGTTAAGAGTGGCTTATCAATTTATATAAGAACATTTATTTTTCCTTCCTTCTGGGTGGGAATGGGCAGAAGAGATGAAAAGCTTGCTGGTGCAGGTTAACTTTACTAAGTAAGTGAGGGTTTAACCTTTTGTTCTTTTAAAAATGGGGACGAGACATTTGAGTTCTGACCTTATAATACTGCCCTTTTTTGGGTAGAAGAAGGTGACACAACAGATGAGCTTTAGAAAGATGGACAGAGAGCCACTTGTAGGAGATGGGTGAAGGCTAGAATTAAAAGAGAGGACTTTTAACCAGCCTCAGCCATGCCGCTTACTAACTACTGTAGCCATGGGCAAGTCATTTCTGTTTTCTGTTATCTCATTTATAAAATGGGAGTAGTAATAGGATCTACTACTGCAGGGTTTCGTGAGGACTGAATAAGATAAGAAGGCAGAGTCTGCCACATTGCAAGTGCTAGCTACTACGATAATTTTGATGAGTATTCTAGAACTTTCCTTGAAGTCTCCACTTCCTTGTCTGCCCCCTTATCAAACTGTGCTCATCGGGAGATGTGCTAGTAGTAGGTGCCGACCCATTGTCTAGGGAGTCACAGGAAATGAAATATTAATTTGGGATTCATAGTGAACTCTCAAAAGCAATATGGCGTCCTAAGTAAATAGCTGCAACCAAGAGTAGAGAGCAGAAGCATCTCTTTTTTCATGATGTGATGAATCATCTATCAAATTTCAAGCTTTCTCCAAGGCAGCGACAATGAAAGGGACAGTAATCTTTCATTTAGGTCATACTGCAATGAATCAGAACTCCTGTAGCTACTTTTGTAGCCCAGTAAATTTTTTTTTATAGAAATTGGATAGACTCCTCTTTAATAGGAATAATCTCAAGTGCAGAGAGAGAGAGAGGGGCATATATCAAGCCTTCTCCTCAGGACCAGGGTGATTTTTCAACATCACTTGGCAAATTTGTTATTCGGCCTGTAGAGGTCGAGTCCAAACTGAGATGAAAGGGTGACAGTTAGTCTGAAAGTTTATTGATCATATCAAAGTATACACATATATCCCTGCTTCCTTAGTGGACTTGGTGCTTTCCTTGCAGTTTAAAATGTCTCTTATGTCATCCTTCTGTGTAATCAAGGAGAGAGAGGAAATTAATTCTACATCATAAGGCACAATTTGGAAGGCAAGAGAACTCCCCCAAATGTGTCTTGGTCCTACTTGACAATATTGAGATAGATTAGTCATTAGTGTATACCCAGGGTGCTAACGAATTGGGTTTTAGAATGTTCTCGCTGCGAAGGATTAAGTTGTGGTAGCAAGGACAGCTAGTTCGTCTGAGACCGTAGGCCGTGCACGTGCAGGATAGCTCATCCCGGGAGTAAGAGAACTCTCTCATTCTCCGGACAGATTCTCTGCTCACCCTGTCCACTCTGCAGGTGGCCTCCACTTTAGATTTATAACCAGGCCGTAAAGTTCTGATGGAAGCCTGCTGCCTGGCTCCCCAAGGACCCTGGGGAAAGGCTAATATTTGCACCTAACTGGATACTTAGGGCAGCAGGAAAATAAACACCATTATAATAGTCACCATGGCACTGAGGGTGCCTCTCTCTTTGCCTTTTTATGGTCTGACCTGCTTTTTGTGCGAGGCTCTGTGGTTATGTGGCTGAGAGGGTGGCTGCTCGACTGTGGCAGGTCCACTCGGGCCGGCACAGGCCTGACTGCCACATGGCTGTCTGCCAGGGCGGGAGGTCTCCCCGTGTGCGTCAGTCCCCCTTTCCGTCCCCTCGCCCTCTCACAGAGGTGTCCCAGAAAAAAAAAAAAAAAAAGAACTCAGAAGGAAGAGCAACTCCCTTTCCAGAGTTTGGGATGGCGATCTTCCTGTTAACCATTCTAAAGCATCGCTCGCTAGCTTTGCTATGTGCCTGTGGATGCGGTCTGTCACTATTCTCGGTCTCCTGTGTCCTGTGGGGGCGATAGCAATGCCCGTCATTGCTGAGTTCAATCTGAACTCTAGGAAGTGCCCAGAAAGGATTCCTGTTATTATGAACGTTACTAGGTCAGAAATAACAAGGCGTAGTGCCTGAAGTCCTGTGTACATTTTTAAACAACCCTACAAGGAACGTAGTAGTCCCCCATTTTGTAGATGAGGAAACTGAGGCTCAGAGAAGCTGAGTAACTTATCCAGGCTGAGCACGTGCAGCTTTATCCAAGCACTTTCTCTGTGGCAGGAGCAATATAGGTGTTCACACTCTCCACCTCTCTGTACGGAAACAAGAAGGCTTCCTTGAATGGGTCACAGCAGTGCCTTGCGGGGTGTGGATCCAGACGTCCTCCCTGCCCCCCTCCCACAGTTGTTTGCAGTACTGGGATGATGGCCTTGTACTTGGATATAGACTTGCCCTTCCCCCAGCCACAGGGCATTCACTTCTGTGGCTATGCAATATTTATATCTGAAGTACCTCTGCAGCCAGAGAAAGAAAAAAAAAAGCAATTGTGGTAAACAAATTAAATAGCGTCTTTCCACTTCGAACCCGAGGCTCTTCCGCCATGCATGTGTGAGGAGGTGGAGAGATGCTGCCGCCCTGCTGCTGGGGTTTGGAACCATTAGGGGCATGTTTGAGTGGTGATGAACGTGGTCTGCCAATTGCCTTTCTCACAGGGGTTGTGGTTTTCCTTCTGCCCGTTAATGGCTGGGAGATGCTCACTTTCAATATGCTTATGAAGCCACTTTTCACAATCACGCCCTCACCCTGCCTCAGTCCCTGGCTCAAGATCTAATTCATAAACCCCTTTGCTGACCGGGCCCTCTAGGGAGTAAGAACGTTGTGGACACACACAGAGCCACTGTTGCACCCTCAGATGAGGAGGTCCCTTCCTTTGGTCCCAGGGGTATAATCTATTAGTAAAACGACCGTACGTCTTGGGTTACACCTCTGCTGTGGTCTTGGCATGATTGTTCACAGAGCCCCGGTTTGCACAATAAATCAATCAAATGGTCACCTAGCTATTAATGTCCGTGCACACGGCACGGGTCAGTTGTATTCTTCAGCCAGTCTGAGACGAGCTGAGTGATTACCGAGCCACCTTTGTTTGTCTCCCTTTTTGGTGCCACACAAGGAAACAGAGAAACAGATGATCTCACCGAGTGCACAGATCATAGGAGAAAAGCCGCAGACAGTTAGTGGTCCCCTGTGGGCCGTCATTCATCCTGGCTGTAGCGCTGACACTCATGATGGTAACACGCGCTGTCTGGGGCAGTGATTCATGTAGCCTGGCCTTGCCTTGCCGTCTGGGTGGAACCTGGTGGGGGGAACGTGGTGGGGGTCTTGTGAGGGGAAGAGTCACCACCCCCTCCTCCCTCCCTTCCCACCAGTTACAGACCCGCCTCGCCTTGTCAGAGGTTGCACTTTCTGTCTTGTACCTTTCAGGGGGTCCTATTGCCATGGTGTGAGGAAGTGAGGAGGAGGAGGAGGGAGAGAGAGGGGTGCAGATTCCTTTAGATCTTGCCCTCTTTCAAGTCAGCTCCCCAACTCTTTTTTTTAAAAAAATAAAGAAATGATTATAGTTTTCTTTGTTGGGTTACTTTGGCGTTTGTCTGATTTTTGCAAAAAGTAAAATGTTTTCCTCTTTCACACCTGGGATAATTATAGGTCTAAATTTATTATTTTGGTTTGTTCATTCCTTTATTGTTGGCTTTAAGTATTTGCTCTTGAGTCATTTACTGGGTAGCTGGGTTGGTGCTGGAAATTCCAAATTAGAGGCTACAAAGGAAATTAAAGAAGGGGTAGAATTAAAATTAAAGCATTCCATCTTATCTATAGTATATTATCTATTTATTTATCTATCTATCTAGCTCTCTAATTATCTGACTGTATTTTTTCGATCCTCATAAGAACTCTCTGAACTTGATAATGGTCAAACTTGTAAGTGAACAAATGTTGCTCATTGTGCCTGAGATTGTGGCTTAAAATGATGCTGACACTGGTTGAACCTCTACCCTGTAACATCTTTTGACCTAAACTGCACACAGCTCAGTTGTGCCATTTCATTATCTATGTGCCCAGACATTCCTAATGGGCTGGCTTATATTTACTTGTGCAGCTTGAATGCAGAGGAAAAACTTAAAAGCAAATGCATTTAATTTGAAAATGTTTTGAGCTCAAACAATTTAGATCATTAAAAAATACTTAAGTAAATTAATAGGACTTAGAACTATGAACTCAATTAGAATTATTGTTATTGAATTAAAAATGATGCTACTTATTTAAGTGGTAATAGTTACAACCTTAGTTTGCTGATTCATTTTAATTCTATTTTTTTTTTATCAGAGTTTTTTTGACCCATAAGGTCTAGATAGAATCAAACCTCAATCCCAGTATGAGGTTTGTCTAAAGCCTTACCAAGAGTTTGGTCACATGTTGGAGAGCTTATTTTTCTCCTTTTCACTTCTAGTTCTAAGTCTTGTTCTTAGCGAATTAATTCAAATAATCAGTGGTAGCTTTTCTCTCTCTTTTCTCTGCTCCCTCCCTCTCAAGGTATAAAATCAACATTTTTCCACGTTAATTAATTAATTAATTGATTAATTTAGAGACAGAGTCTCACTTTGTTGCCTGGGCTAGAGTGCCGTGGTGTCAGCCTCGCTCACAGCAACCTCAAACTCCTGGGCTCAAGCAATCCTTCTGCCTCAGCCTCCTGAGTAGCTGGAACTACAGGCATGTGCCACCGTGCCCGGCTAATTTTTTCGATATATTTTTAGTTGGCCAATTAATTTCTTTCTGTTTTTAGTAGAGACGGTGTCTCACTCTTGCTCAGGCTGGTCTTGAACTCCTGAGCTCAAACGATCCTCCCGCCTCGGCCTCCCAGAGAGCTCAGATTACAGGCGTGAGCCACGCCTGGCTTATTTTTAAATTTTATTTTTAATGCAGAGCTGTTAATATCTCACCACTTCTAACAGCCAAATGGAGTTTGGTGTCTATACTTGCATCTTCAAGGAAGTAGTCTATTAAGAAATGATCCCTTGTAAGTCCCCTTCTGCCTAAATTCCCGGACCATGGCTGTCCCCCTTCCTCATCTGTCTGGAGGTGAGGACTAGGGTAGGGGAGGGAGAGTGTGTTCTGGGTACCACGCGTAGAGGAAAGGCAAAACCACCTGCTTTGGGCCAGACAGGTTTTGAATCCTAGCCTTTCCTCGTCCTGGCTGTGTCACCTAGGACAGGCTACTGAACTTCTCTGAGCCTGTTTCCTCATCTCTAAAGTGAGGATACTATTACTTTCCTGCAAGTTGTGGAAAGGATAGAATGGAATAACACACGAGTTACGGAAAGGATAAAACGGAATAACATTTCTAACGCACCTGGTGAAATGCAGGCACTTAGCAAATGTTAGTTTCCTTTTCCTTTCAACGGATAAACACTTTCCTTGAGGATTACATATGTAAACATTAAATATTTATAAATTGCATAATTTAAGAAAAATGAAACTTGAAAAGGAATCATACTTTGGATTTTTTGATGAAACAAATGATCAGCCTCGTTTGTCTTTCGTGCTGCTCTGTATTTTTTATGTGCTGTGGTGGGTCTGCTCATGGTGTTTGCGCAGTTCTCAGCACTGGGAGACTTGAGTGGACTTGAACTCTTTTTGCAGTTCACAGGAGTCATAAATATTAGGTGTTGATGGTGTGATTTGGGGCAACCTAAGTGACGGAGGCCTAGAACTGTCTGTGAGGCATTATTTCCAGGTGGTCCCATCAGAGCTGAATAGGTAATAAAGATACGAACACCGGATAAGGCTTTGTGGTTTGGACTGGTGGCACTCAAACAGAACAGGGAAGGGACTCACCATCTGTCCCCCTCTAAAGCAGAGCAGAGCACAGCCTTGGATGTATGTGTGACTGGTGTCAGTTAGGCCAACTGAAACCACTGGCAAAGCCAGTGTGTATTCACCCCATGCGGCCAGATTTTAACACGTTGACTGCCACGTGAGTTGTATTTAACTCAGGCTAGTTTTGAACCTGGAGCCACGTGAAGCAAAACCCTGCAGTTAGTTCGTGAAAATCTCACTTGTTGATGTTCTTATGTTACAATTAATATTGACAATTTAACTCTAAAAAAACGTGGATTGCTTTGCACATAACTCATGCACAGAAAACAATAAAAAAGAACAAATTACAAAGGATTGTTTTGTTTTAATAAAACACTTTGGTCTCAGGGGAAAAAATTTTTTTCTACTGTCCAGTCAATGTGTTAAATTCTGGGGTGCCAGGGATTGTTAGGATTAGTGGCAGCGTGCATAATATTTCATGTTCTCTTAGAGGCAGAAAAGACTAAGACTTGACAAAAGGTGTTTTGTTTTTCCTATCACCCAGTCAATGTATCCATGGATCTGCCAAATCTAGCCCACAGCCTGTTTTTGTACAACCCCTGAGCTAAAAGTGGTTTTTGCATATTTAAAGGGTTATTAAAAAAAGGATTGAAAAATATTCAACAGAGACCATTGCCACCTGTCAAGGCTAAAATATTTAATGTCCAGCCCTTTATGGAAAAAGTTGTTGATCCCTGGTCTAGAGGGTTTTAAATAGTTCAGATTAATGAAGGCAAAATGCAACCATGATTGATATTTTTCAGTTGTAATCTGATTTTTGATAATCACCATATGCCTGTTTATCCTATTTACTTGGCATAAATATAATTACATTTTAATATTGGTGCCTTACTCTCTCTACATAGGGTTATTCCAACTGAGCCCAGGGAATGGAGTCCCTATTTGTTGTTCTAGAAGTAGCTCTATGTCTGTCACCTCCTCTCCGAAGCCCCCACCTGTCGTTCTCTGACCAGCTCACAGCTGTGGACAGCGTGTGTTTCAGCTGCCGTGACAGCTCTTCCTCCCTCTGCCCTGGCCTGAAAGAGGATGGCAGGGGCCAGTGCAGGAAGAGCTGCAGAGGCGTTTCTCACCTCATTCTGCTCATGATGAAGCTGGGGAAGAGTATTTAATTGCAAAAGTATGAGCGCAGGGAAGGGGGCAGTTGTGTGGCTGCAATACCCAGACTGAATGCCGGAAGAAGCGGGTCCCGAGTTAGATCCTGATGGATGGGCATGGTTTGCAGATGGGGCATATGCACAGGTACAAAGGTACAATATAAAGGGACATCTCATGGAGTGTCCTGCCCAGAGTGGAGACTTTTATAGCAGGGTGAGAGTAAAATGGGTCATTATTGAGGCCAATTTATTGGGAATGTGAAGGTGTATGGAATTCCAAATCCAGGAGTCATTGATGGGTCATTGAAGCTTATTTTTAAAGAGAGCAATATGTGTGTGTGAGGTGGGGTTAGGGGAGTGAATTGGCAGTCATGAAATTGGCTACTATTTGTTAAACCCTACGTGGGTGCCTGGCATTGGGCTAAAAGCACGACACGGACCATTTCATTTAATCCTAATAACAATCGTGGGAGAAGGTATTATCCCCACTTTGCAAATTAGGATACCAGGCTGAGAGAGGTTCAAATAACTTGCCCAAGGTTCTGAAGTTAAGAACAAGTGGAGCCAGGACAGCCTTACCTGAGAGCCCAAGCTCTTAGTTCCTGCACCGTCGAAACAAGTTCAATATAAAACATTCTCACAAGATAGGAAAGAGAAGAGCAAAAGGCAACCAAAATCTTATCTTTCAGAGATGACCACCTTGAGTGAACATTCTTCTAGACATCTTTTTATGTACACACACAGCAATATGTATGCATTTTGCATAACCTGGGCCTTCAAGCTTTATATAAGTGACACCATATTCTAGATCCTAGTTTTATCTCCTCAGTTAAAACTAATGTTGTAATTTTCATAAATGGGTGCATAGTATTAATATTTCCCTGTATGATTGCACCCTCCTCCACTTAACCTTTTCTCTCTAGATCACTGCAGGTTCTTAAGCAGGGGAATAATTCATTGGAAACTTTTTTTTTTTCTTTTTATAGGAAAACCTTTTTAACTGAGTCTTATGTTTTTCCCCTTTCTTTGCAGCATGCGCTTGATGCTGACAATGCGGGAGTCAGTCCCATAGGAAACTCTTCTAACAACAGCAGTCACTGGGACCTTGGCAGTGCCTTTTTCTTTGCTGGAACCGTCATCACCACCATAGGTACTCATTTCTTTGCTGGTATCTTTTTCTCTGCAGGTCATCCTGAGTAATGGCATTCGGTCAGTGCTGTGGTCCTGATAGAATACACCATAGTTCGAGGTCCAAAAAGAGGCTTATGAAATACTCTCAAATGAATGCAGTAGTTGTGGTGGCTTTCGGTAAAAGGCAGAGAGCAGAATGAAGTATCTCTTTTTTTTTTTTTTTCAGAATGGAAGGCTAGTAAGCCTTTAGTTTGAAAGGACCTAATGAAAAGTTTAGTGTAGAAAATCTGAATTGGTCTATTGTACTCGGATTGCTTATTTGAGCTCGATTTCCTTTGTAAAGATTGCACTTCTTATTGAAGGTGTATAGGAAAGAACCAAAATATTCTGCAAAGTTTGCTGGGAAAAACAGCAGCAGCCTCTGCCTCTCTCCCTGTTTTTCCCCCTTCCTCGAGACAACCACTTTCATCTCTTTTGATTGATGATTTTGATGTTCATCCCCATGTCTTTAAATATCATGCTGGCTAGTATTACCACTTACAGACTTTGCAGTTTGGGGGATTATTTCTTGCCATCGTGGAAGACAAGGAGTTAGTTCTCTCTTCCTCCCTGCCCCACTGCAGAAGGGCTCTCTCTTCTGATCCTTCTGTCTTCCCAATAGAGTTTAATTAGATAAAAGCTGAACATGTGCCTTATTTTGTCTCGGTAAATGCTCTTTGCAACTGATCATATGGTGAACTATCATAACTTCTTTTTTGCACTAATTTTTGTCCTATTTTATTTGTGTGTGCCTTTGCTTCTGATACTTGGCGAGTTTTGTATTTTAGTCTTAGGGGTTAACTTTATAATTATAATAGGATATAATAACCTTAGTGTTCTCTTCATTAACCAGTACGTATTAGATCCCTATTATAGGTGATGACATCTCTTCTCCCTCTCCTTCTCCGCCATACGATTTTAGTCAACATCATCCTTTGAATGTTTACTTTCAAATGATTAAATACGCTTGTGCTTCTCTTATGTGATTTGTCAGCTTTAAATAACTCTTGGCTCTCAGCTATTACATATAATGCAATCAGTGAACTTATCGTCTCAACTTCTTTCCCCCCTCCCACTATTTTTCACTGTTTCATTCTATATACAGGCATACCTAGTTTTATTGCATTTTATTGTGCTTTGCAGATATTGCATGTTTTTTTTTTTTTTTTACAGATTGAAGGTTTGTGGCAACCCTTCACCGAGAAAGTCTATCGGTGTCATTTTTCCAATAGCATGTGCTCACTTTGTGTCTCTGTGTCACATTTTGGCGATTCTCTCAGTATTTCCAACTTTTTCATTATTATTATATCTGTTTGGTGATCTGTGATCAGTGATCTTGGATACTACTATTGTAATTATTTTGGGGCAGCACGACTAATTTCCTTGGATCAAGGAATAATTTCAACTTTCAAGTCTTACTATTTAAGAAATACATTTTGTAAGGCTATAGCTGCTATAATGATTCCTGTGTTGGATCTGGGTGCCTTCTGGAAAGGATTTACCATTCTCAATGCCATTAAGAACATTAGTGAAAAAAAAAATAAAAATAAAAATGAAAAAAAAAAAGAACATTAGTGATTCATGGGGGAAGGTCGAAACATCAATCAATATTAACAAGAGTTTGGAAGAAGTTGATTCCCAAAGCGAGAATCATACCCCTAGACCAACGAGCCTGCCAGAAGTTGATTCCCAGTCTCATGGATGACTTTGAGAGGTTCAAGACTTCAGGGGAGGAAGAAACTGCAGATGGGGTAGAAATAGCAAGAGAATTACTAATAGAAGTGAAGCCTGCAGGTGTGACTGAATTGCTACATCTCTTGATAACATTTAAACAGATAGGAGCTGCTTCTCATGGGTGAGCGAAGAAAGTGGTTTCTTGAGATGAAATCAACTCCTGGTGAAAATGCTGTGAACGTTGTTGAAATGACACAAAGGATTTACAATAGTCCATAAATCTAGTTAATGAGTGGCAGGGTTTGTGAGGCTTGACTCCACTTTTGAAAGAATTTCTACTGTGGGTACGATGCTATTAAACAGCATCACATGCTACAGAGAAATATTTTGTGAAAGGAAGCGTCAATCGATGCAGCAAACTTCATTATATTATTTTAAGAAATTGCTACATCCGCTGCCCAACCTGCAGCAACCACCACTCTGATTAGTCCGTAGCCATCAATATCGAGACAAAACTTTCCACCAGCAAAAGATTACGATCCGCTGAAAGGTCAAATGATCATTAGCGTTTTTTTAGCAATAAAGTATTTTTAATCAAGATACATTTTTGGACATAATGCTCTTGTACATTTAATGGACCACAGTATAGTGTAAACATAACTTTATATGCACTGGGGGACCAGTGTTTGTCTCTGTACAGTCCTGCTTCTTCTGTTTTCTGAACTTCTGATCAAGTTCAAGGTGGCTTCTGTCGCTCACCCTCTTCACCCTGTATTCCGCCCTTGGTGCAGACAAGGGTATCTCTTCTTAGGTTCAAAGTGAGAGACCCTCACCTGCATACTTGGACACTTGCCTACATTTTCTGAGATTTGCCACTTACTAAAGATCCCTGGCATCATTCTCTGGGCTACTTCTCTTTATTTTTTTCCCATATGGCTTCTGCATAAATCTCAGCTTCTTTTGGTAGTTCTTACACGTATGCTGGAATCTATAGATTGTATCCCATTTCCAGATCTGCTGAAAATGAGTTTGAGGGTTTTCTCTGCCCGACAACAGTGAAATGGCACTGCAATAAAAATTCTCATTCTGAAGCACGAGAGACACACAGCAGTCACCTGTCCGTAGCAATGATGGACGGCCATGGAGAGGTCCCTCTGTCCTCCCCTGAGGGCAGCAGTCCCCAATCTTTCTGGCACCAGGGACTGTTTTCATGGAAGGCAGTTTTTCCATGGACGGGGCAGGGGCTGGGGGGATGGTTTCAGGATGATTGAAGAGCATGACATTTATCGTGCACTTTATTTCTATCATTATTACATTGTAATATATAATGGAATAATTATACAACTCACCATAGGTTGGGGACCCCTGCCTTAGGGGATTCCTTCACTAAAACCTATTCATACTCTCTGGGAGGAACTCCCTGCTCTACTGCTCTCTAAGGCCCAGCCATGCCTACTGAGAGGTTCTTTCCTCTCATGCACAGCTTTGACAATCAGCTTCCTCTTGGTGCACGTTTCAGAGGCTAAGGGCTGTATTAGGTGCAAAGGTTTCTGCTTTTGTTTTTAGGCTTAGCCTTCAGGATCTATGTTGTTTCTAAATTGGTGAAATCAAGAAAGTTATGTGCAACAAAAAGATTTGGTATGAAAGAGCATTGTCATTCTTATTTAGAAAGCCCCTTAAACTAATCATCTGACATACTAGGCTTGCCCTTGTGACTCTGCAAATATATTAATGTCAGCTATTGCAAGTATTCAGGGGGTCCATTACACTAATGGGTCTGGGGTCTAGAAACTTTTTTGGACACTCCAGGCCAGGGTAGGTCAGCTTAGTCCACAGACTCACAGCGCCAAGCGAAGGGAGAAGGGTGGCTTGGCACCACTTGGTATAAGGGCAAAAACCTCAGCAGCACCCGAGGGCCTTGCTATAGTATATCAGAGAAGACCAATATCAGGTTATATTGTGTTTGGCAGTCTGCTTATCGAACTGGAGAAAAGTGTCATGCATTTTAGGAGGACTTAGTGTAAAACAATTAAAATTGAGAAAGTCTGGGCCACTTCAAAAAGCACATTTTGGAAAAATTCTCTCCAATACCCAGTATTGGATCCATAAGATATTAGTGTAGGTTAAAGAGGACAGAAAAAGGAAGCTCCTAATTTTCTTGTTTTATGACATGGCTTAATTAATGGTCTGTCTGATGCATTGAAAAATGTCATAGTTACATTGGAATGCACACTAAGGGTATTTCTTGTGTCACCTTGTTAGGAAACCAGGGACTTGGTTTATTGAACAACTACTGTTCATTGACCCACATGACATTATGTGATTGAGGAATTGTGGCTCCATTTGCTTAACAAAGAACATTTGATACATAATATTTTCTGTCCTTCTCTGTGTGCTTACACTGGGATTTTTGAGTTTGTGCAAATGACTCTTTAGTCCTTGGTTTCTTCTACTTGGTCCCTAGTTATTCACTCCTGTCCTGATAACCATATCCCCAACAGTCTCCTACCCTACTCTTAGCCCCCAGGCCTCAGGGGAAGAATCACCTTGTCTAGACTAAGAAGCCCAGTGCCTGGCCACAGTCATCAGTTCAAAGATGGACACATGATCTAGCTTAGGTGCTTTTGCTTGAGCTTTGGGGGAAATGACTTCCTCTTTTTCTTACTGGAGATAAATCTAGAAAGAGATAGGCCCAGGGCACTGCCAGTCAATTTTCTTCCCTTGATGGATTTCTCTGCCCAGAATTCAGCTAGCAACAAAAAAGACAGAGTGAAACAAAGGTAGTGGTAAATAGAATCTTGCCCACATCCTTTGAGCTCTGGATGGAGCTACCCATGAAGTGTTAAGAAGTAAGTGTTAAATCTCCTTCTATTTACCGGGGTCAATACGTTTTCTTTTGTTGCTTAAGCCACTCTGTATTGGGTTTTCTATTACCTGCAATTGAAAAGGATCCTCACTAATACACATGGGTCAGAGCTCACGGAGGGCCAGTAAATATCCTTTGCTCTCCACTGCCAGGGCCTGACCCTGCTGGCCACTCAGCTGCCATCTCCCACCATCTTTGGGCCATGGCTCTTGATTTAAAGTCTTGGGCAGAGCCATCCTATTGGTTGGGGCTCTCGTTTCATATGCCCGTGTCCTGGCTGCCTGGGAGGTGTTTCCTCTATTCTGGGAGGTAGGATGCTATGTCACATCAGTGATGCATAGGATGGGGCCTTTTCCCCAAAATTAGAGGGAAGGTTGATACTGAACAGGAAACTGAACTACTGAACAAGCATGCAAACAAAAAACAAATCAAAGGAAAAT